TCTGGCCTGCAGGGCCCCGGCCTGCTCTGCTTTGTGTCCCCTGTGGCCCTCAGCAGCAGGCTGAGAGCAGCCGGGGGTTGGATCCAGGGGTCTCGCTAGTGCGGGGGGCAGAGCCAGCCCCACGCCCGTCGTTCCCGCTTCCAAATCCACGGAGCCCACAGGTTCCTGAACACCGGCGTCTTCCCCGCCTGCCTGAGCCACGTGTGCCAGGGCAGGCTGCCCTCCCCGCAGCCCTGATGGGACCGGCGTAGGAGCCAGCCTCGCTGCACGGGCTGGGCCAGCAGCCCCGTCCTGGCCTCCCCCTGCCCCTGGCCTGCACCTCGCCTGGGAGGCTGGGGATCGGTGAGCTGGTCCCGGTGAGCGGCTTGTGCGTGGGGGTGGTTTCGGTTCCCTCTTCGGAAGAGGAAGGGCCGAGCATCCCCCTTGGGCCTGGCCTGGGAATTGGGGATGTTGGACGCTCCCCTTTCTGGCTGCCCAGGCCTGGGATAAGGCTGTTCCGAGCCAGGTGCCGAGCTGGGATTTGACTTGGGTCACTCAGTAATTCGGTACCAGCCCGGCCAGGGAGGCTGTGACCAGTTCCTGGCTGCCTCGTTGGATTGTCCTGGAAGGGCCGAGCATCCCCCTTGGGCCTGGCCTGGGAATTGGGGATGTTGGACGCTCCCCTTTCTGGCTGCCCAGGCCTGGGATAAGGCTGTTCCGAGCCAGGTGCCGAGCTGGGATTTGACTTGGGTCACTCAGTAATTCGGTACCAGCCCGGCCAGGGAGGCTGTGACCAGTTCCTGGCTGCCTCGTTGGATTGTCCTCTGCACCAGGCTCTGGTGCGGGGTGCGGGGGCCTGTCTTGCTGCTCTGGGCAGGCTCCCCTTTCTGGCTGCCCAGGCCTGGGATAAGGCTGTTCCGAGCCAGGTGCCGAGCTGGGATTTGACTTGGGTCACTCAGTAATTCGGTACCAGCCCGGCCAGGGAGGCTGTGACCAGTTCCTGGCTGCCTCGTTGGATTGTCCTCTGCACCAGGCTCTGGTGCGGGGTGCGGGGGCCTGTCTTGCTGCTCTGGGCAGTGGCTGGTGAGCGAATGCTGCAAGGCCATTCCCAGCTCTGCCCTGTGTCGACCCTGTGACTAGTTCCTGTGCTAATCCAGGTGCCCTCCGGCGGGAGCTCTCTGCGCTGCTGTGACATGATGCTCGCTCTGGTGCACCGGGGTGTGTGTTTGTGCCGCTGGGGGGGCATATTCCCATGTGAGGCAGCGCAATGAATGGGCATTGGCCCTCCTTGGCTGACCGATGCTGAGCCTGGTGGTCTGGTCCAGCTCCTAGCTATGTCGTGCCCACCCCCAGCCTCCTTGCGGCGTCAGCCGGCGGCTCCGCATGTGCTGCCCGAGGCAGAGCGCGCGGCGTCCGACGTGGGACG